CCTTCCCGGCTGTTATGAGATTTTATTTAAAAACATAACGTTTATGACAATAAATAAAATTGTATGTGGCGCCATCTGTTATAAGATTTTGTTATAAAAAGTTTTTATATTATTAATTATAAAATGACAAAAGGCCTAATTTTGAGGATAGGAATGAGTTTTATAAAAAACTCATTCCTATCCTCAAAATTAGGATAGGATCCTAAATACTTATAACAAGCAAAATAGTTATTCAGTCCGATCTCTCTGGAGATATGACACATGATCACCTTCTATCTCCCTACTCTTTCGACCTTTAACCAGTGGCGGCCCTAGCCAGTTTTCAATAATTCCGAGATCTCATTGTGGCGCCCCCTGTAGAGACTAAACTGATAACGTACATTTTTCGCATTATTAATAACTCAGACCTCCGAAAGATTAGTATAGTAATACTATGGATGAGAAACGATAACGACGGTAAATGGAGAGTTAACTTGATCCTTGTTAATTCAGACTAGGGTTTCTCAAACGGGATTCCGGGATCCTGGTTGTTTTTTTAACCCGGGAAATATCCCGGGAAATTTTTCTTATCCCGGGAAATCCCGCAAATTTCTTAAAAATTCACTTTTTTTCTTATTTTGTGTTAAGGTTGAGGAATTTTGCAAATAGAAAGCATAATTAACTCATTCACTGTCAGAATACATTTGTATTTATTAATTTTAAACCTACCTATTAGTTTTTTTTAAATTTTTGCTCGTTATAGCATGTCACAAATGGTCAATAATCAATATATAGCTTATTTGTGGCAGGACTATAAAAATTCTTTACTTGTCGGAACCTGTAATATCTGGAATAATTGTGCTTACGCTGTCTTGAGTTTTAACCATGCCCAGTAGCTTCAATAAATGCCTGACGCCAGATTGTGCAAATTGGGCAAGGATACAAACGAGTACAAAGTCTGCAAGTATGAAGTTTTTCTTCATAAACCTGATTATTAAAGCCAAATGAATTGCCGAATTATCGAGCTCTAAGCTTGATGCCGCTATTAAAGCAGCCAAGGTAGACAAATCAAGAATACTAGAGAGCGAAAGAAGTATTACAATCTCTAAAACGAACTCGAAATCTTCCAGGCTACAGGTGAAAAAACACATAATATCTGTCGTCTCTTAAATGCATTAAACACTATTCCAATCACATCAATTGAATCGGAAAGGACATTCTCGGTGGCAAGACTTTTCATTACTAAAATAATAATTAGAGTGAGTTATCGGAGTATTGACCATCTTTGCTTTTTAAAATCTTATAAAAGTTTGTAATATTTTGTATTATATTTTATTTAAAAAACGAAAATTATCTTCTAAATTAGAAGTTCATTTTTTTTAATTTTTAACTCAATTCAAAACATTTTTTTTTGTAGTTGTTGTATGCAGTTTCCAGCAAACTTTAATTAATTTTTTTCTATTTGTGAAAATTTCTACGTTATTTAAAGGTAATTTTTATTATAGGCCTATAGACCTTACACAGCATTATTAATATGATTTTGGAGGTTACAGAACTTTAAAATTACTTTAAAAAATGGAAAATAATTATATCATTTGATTTCAAGATATTTTGTATACCTTAAAAATAATTAATTCTATCCCGGAAAACAGTTCACTTTTATCCCGGGATCTCGAGACAAGCAAAAGACCGGGAAATGAGAAACCCCAATTCAGACGTATCGCAAGCTGTTGACGTTTTTTCCCCTCCCCTCCGTCGATGGAATCTCTTAATTTTAGGTTATGGAGATATAGCACACATTTCAGGATCATGTTTTATATTCTCACAACCCAGTTCACTCTTATGTAAAATCTATAGCATAGTACTAGTATGGACGAGGAACAATAACAGTGAAAAAAAAACAATATTTCTTTCACAAGGAAATATTTATTTAATTTCTTTCATAAGGCAATATTCATAGCAATATTTACTTAAACTGCTATGGCACAGACAATGCTCACATCACGCAAAAGACAAATTTACATCGTAAATTAATTTAAAATTGAAACAAATTAAGACATAAAATAAAATAAAAAGCCTACATTGCCACCTTCCTCGCTTTTGCGCTTGCAAATATTATTCATTAAGAATAATTTAATTCCTGGGTAATACTATTTTCGATAGATAAAATTGATAGTCTATCCAGTCACATAGTTGATACATAAATATCAACAGTCTATCCTGACACATAGTTGATACATAAATAAGTTTTAATTTACTGAAACTTCGTTCTCTTTTAGCGACAGTTACAGGTATGGTCAGCAAAATTCGAAATGCTGTCCACACATTCAGGAATATATCCTGCCAATCATTTTGTTTAATAAGTTGAAGAACTTTTATTGGTTCTGATGATTTAAGCTCTTTCAACAATGGATTAGGGTGTAAAAGTTCCTCAACCAATTCACAACCAGATATGTCACATTTTTCTCCATCTGTTAAACTTATTTCTAAATTTGCACAGGCTTTTTCCAATTTTGACTTTTCATGAATTGTTTTGATGTTGTATAAAAAGGACCATGTATCATTAAATTTGGATAGTTGTGTAAATCGAGTGACCAACGCATTCTCAATTGTATCGATCATAGGGTAAAAGACGTTTATTTTAAACAATTCTTCATGATCTGTTGGTGTCTCACCCTGGCCTCGTATTTAAATAATCTCTTCTTTCTTCGTAATCGGACTGACTTAAAAATAAGATCTATCCCAGCCTGAAAAGCAATTTCCCTAACTGTTATTACAGCAGACGAATAACGCCGGTACTCTTTTACAAATTCGTAGCAGTTCTTCAGCAATTGTGTAACGTTTGGAAATCCATAGTTTTGGACTGCATAGCCTTGCTTACAATGTTTACTTGAAACAATATATCATACCAAGCCACTATTGTTACTATAAAATCAAATTGCTCCATGATCTGAATTGGGGACAAAGCCTCTGATGCTGCAATTGGGTGAGTTGCAGCATCAGAGGCCTTGTCCCCAATTCGTTTCTTCCTGAAGATCCAGAAGGGCGTCACGAACTGAAGAGTAGTGATAACGAACTGCAGCGAGGCTAGAAACTTTACTCTCCCAATGAGTTTCACAAACTTTTTTCAGCGATAGTCCTTCTATGTGCTTGAATATCACTTTTTCGGACATTTAATATACAGTACAATAATTTCGCGACAGTAGTACGTGTACAGAAACTTAGAACTAATTCTTACTCACTAACTTATAACCAAAGAGGGTAGAAGATTATATGAGAAAGTAGAGAGAAAAAGGGTAAGATCAAAATACCCGGGATTCTCTTTATTTCGTGAACACTGGATTAGCACCACCTCGGATTCTGCATACACCAGACATAATTTTTCTTCCCTTTCTTTATAATCGGGACTTCCGTCCAACGTTGACTCTGGAGTTTTCTATTTTTCTAACGTAACCAAAATGTTTTTCCTTCGGAATTATTCAGTCTCAAGTAGTCCCTAGTCGTCTACTCGCGATCTGGAGCGCTCTTCTCTTCACGTCTTACTCCCACGTAGGTCCAGTCAAGACTAACCCGTTTTTTTTTTTTTGTCTTATCGGCCCTCGGGCCTTAACTCTCCCATTGTCTTATGTTCTTGGAACTGGTGGTCCATTGTCTTCTGTTCTTGGGATTGGTGGTCCCACCCAAAGGGAAGAAAGGAAATGAAAAGAAAGTTCTAGAAAGACGGAGAATAAAAGGAAATAAGGAAATAAATGTACAAATATTGGTTTCTTTAATCTTGGTATTTATTTTGGTGGGTAGGGTTAAGTAGTAATAAGGTGATTGGGTTTTATTTTTTTCGTAGACGTTCTATCATTGCATTTTCGGCGCCCCCACTATGACGGCGCCAGGTGCAGTCGCACCGTTCGCACCGCCATTGCCTTTAACCACCAAAATTTAATAACATCAATGCCTCTAATGTACAAACCAACGTGCCAAATTTCGTTTCTTAATCATTACCTAATCCTGAAATATTAAATTAAACAAAATAGACGCCAACAAACTCCTACACTGCCGCTGTGGGCAAAATTTCTGAAGGTTATTAATTAAATAATGTGTATTTATTTAATTCACGAAAAATATAAATGCTTACAAACAAATTTAAATCACTTGATTTTTTCCGCGGAAATTTAATTATAGGTTCAAGTGTGCCGTGAGATAAAAAAAAAAAAAAAACATTGAGATAAAGGGCGGTAACGTGTTGTATTTCGAATAGAGTCGGACTTAATGAATGTTTTACTTGTTTTTAGCATTCAGCTCTATAGTTTTAATCTCATAACAGATGGCGCAACAAACAATTTTATTTATTTATTATGCTTAATAATGTAAAAGTTATTTTTTAAATAAAATCTCATAACAGCCAGGAAAGTTAAAAACTCGTTGCTGTATTTTTTTATTTTAGGTTTATTACTCATTTTCAATAGACTAATTATTCAAATTGATTAATTAATAAAAGCAACTTTTGGATAAATAATACATGTGTGTTTATTGTAATATTATCTATTTTTGTTTTCCAACAAATGTGCGCTTCAAATATATTTTTTAATTATTTTGACATGTTCAGAACCCACTTCTCTGAGTTATCCATTATCGTATGAAAATTATTTCGATATTTTTAAAGAGCAGCCTAAAGATAAACTTCAAAAAGAACAATTTTAATAATTATCAAGATAAGACTACTGTCGAAGCGTTGCTTATGGGGTCTACTGGACTCATGTTAAACTTGCAAAAAAAATTTTTTTTACCGCCGGCAGGATGAGAAAAATTTTAAAAAAGGAAAAAAAAGTAATATTCCGCTCATTTTTACTGACAGAAAATCTGCTGTTCAACTCGAAACATATAACAATTTATCATTCTTATCGTATTTTTATTTAATTTTTTTTATTTTGAACTGTCAAGAACAACAATTAAGAAGTTTTAAGCAGCCCCTTCTGTCCATGACATTTATAGAAGAAAAATAATTGTTATTGAAAAAAAATTTCAGAGCCACCATAGCTCAGTGGTTAGAGCAGTGTTCTTGTAAAGCAACGGTTGTGAATTCTATTCTCACTGGTGGCTAATTACATTTCTTTTCCTTTTTTAAGTTTTTAAAAGGATAAATTTTTATCACAAAAGGAGGTTTGTCAGTAATAGACCTTCATTTTTAATATCTATCAAAATAGATAAAATATCGTAAAGCTACTAAAATGCTTACTTGTTAGCATTTTAGTAGCTTTAAACTTCAACGAAGTTGAGTTTTTCTGATTTTTTAAAATCTGATGCAAATTACGACGGGTCTGAAAAAGTAAAATTTGACGTACAGTGCATATTACAATTACAGTAATTAATCTGAGCCCAATGAACAGAAAGTTTACTGGAGTCCATTTCTTGTTCAACTTGCAATGAAATATTTGGTGTTACTCTCAACTATCGCGGCGCATCAGAGATATTTTTTGCGTTGGTCGCTTATTGCTATTAACTTGAATAAATTTGTCACAATAAAAGGATTAAATAAAAGTAGTAAAACGAAAAATATCTTTAAATATCTCAGGACTAAAATTCTTTATTATTTTGTTTATTCAAGAACTAATTCATTATATTCATTCAATGTATGATAATTTGTTAATAATTTTTATTAACGTTTAATTTTTATTTAATATCTAACTAATTTGGTCATCAAATAATTTTTAAAATTATTTACTAATCTTTATAAATTAGGATTAATTGTGATTTAAAATTTAAGATTAAAGTAAGTTTATAAATTAATCGATATTAAACCTTTTAATCGTTCAACAGCCCTAATTGAAATGCATATCATACTGATCTACTTTAAACAAATAAAAAACAGATAAAACAAGGATAAGAAACAAATTCGTTTAGACTAAAAAACATTTTAATTTAATTTATATCTCAATATTTTTAAAAATTTCTTGTAAAATTTATCTTTAAAAAAATTTAAGAAAATATATTAATAGTATCATATCAAGAAAGAATTAATGCGCCGCAATTCCGCAATATGCAGCCATTAAATCTAGGTAAAAAATTTTTTATTTTGCTTTAAAATTATAGTCCAAAAGTTAAAATCACGCAACTATCATCATCTTACAAAGCTGTCATTATATTATTAAACATTTAGAAATTCAAAATAAATTATACACTAGTAATTTTTTAATTACTTAATTTCATTTAATTTAATAATTTAATTTTTGAAATAACTATTTAAAATGTTTGGGCAATTTTAATTACATTAGACTAGGAAATATATTGTTAAAAAGACTATTCCGAAGGACCGCCCAGAAGGTAACAGGAACCTAGTGAAAAATATATATTTGCCCTAATTGAAGCCCTATAGCAAATTAGATTATTACATTAAAGGAAGTAAACAAGAAAAACCGTACAGGGCCCCTAACTCTTCGGGGCAATCTGCTCTTTTTGTCTCCTTTCGGGTGTCTTTGCCTGATGAATAATAATATAAAAGTTATAAAATAATACACTTAAGGTTATAAAATCATATAAAATAAAAAGGATAATTACTGTTTTCATTGATAGAGGAATAGTTTCTAATTGCAACTGCCTCGAAAATTGTAAATTCGTGACTAAAATATAACACCTTCATCCAAAAATATAATTACCGTCAATATATGTTAAATTCTTCATGTTAATAAATTGTATTTACGATATAAATAATTTTTATTAATATTTAAAAAAGTAAGTTTATTAACCAAAATAAATAACGTTATATAATTTACTTACTTGTTTTTTTATTATAAGAAGTTGTCCAAAAAATAGTCGATGTTGGCAATTTTCATTATGCACACCCTGCACTTTTCATGCCGTGTAAACTCTACCAAATAATACTATATTTAACTGAAGTGAATTTTAGAACACGTTGCACGTTGCTTAGTATCGTTACTAGATTACAATCCAAGTATCGATTAAAGTCTCCTTATATTAGAATTCTTTTATTGATCCATAATATCAGATAAATAAGTTTCATTACTGCTTTAATAACAGAAATTTTGAATTTTAAAGAAGAAATAAAATCTTTAATAAATAAAATATATGATAATTAAATATTTATTAATATATATATAATATTATATATTTATAAATTCCAGTAATAAACAGTTAAATCATTCAAATATTTTGAATTAATTAGGTTATGCAGTATATAGGCTTGTGCATTTTAATGATTTGTTTGTAATTAAAACATTTTAAAGCTGTATGTTATCTTTCATAATATTTGTAAAATACATGAAAAACTTTTGAAATTTATAAAATTGTAGGTAATTTTTTAAAAAAAGTTTAAAGAAAAATATAAATATCTTTTCGTAATATTTGATTTGTTTATGTCCATGCTTCTAAAGAAAAAAGAATATTTTCAGGTTAGGCCATTGACCTAAGGATCAATCGATTCAACCATTTCTTTGAATACTGAGTTGTTTTATAACAATATTGGAAATATTTTGTACAGATTCAATCAACATAATTCCTTTATTAAGAATATCTTTATTTATTCTTAACATTAAATCTGCATAATTATTATTTTTTCTGTTTCACGCCGTCTTACGAACAAAATATCTATTTGTAAAGGCAAAATGTTAGGTGAAGAAGAAAAATTTTCTTTTTAAACAAATTTAATAGATATTAAACATTAATACGACAATGAACAAATTCTATATAACATATTGTTTAATATCTAAATTGTATTTTGATTTAAATTTGAATCATAACAATATTAATTTTGAGATGAATGATTTGTTGAAAAAACTTACTGTTTGTTTACGGAGCACTTATTCAAGGATATTAATTAATCTGTAAAAACAAAAATGTCCCTACGAAACGAAATTTATAGAAAATTTTAATTCAATTTTAAATATTAGAATTTTTGAAGCAATAACATTTTTACTCTTTTACTTTCTCGGCTGTTATATATAACAGAAAGAAAGTATGGCGATTGTTCTTAAAGGACCAATTTGTGAGGTAGGCAGAGGCGAATCTACATAGGAACTAATAGGGCTTAAGCCCTAGGCCCCAAGTGTCAAGAGCCCACAAAAAAATTGAATTATTAGAGAGGTTGCGGCCGACGTTTTCATCGCGAAAACGTGTACGTCGGACGTTCAGCGCCGCCTTCCTGTATGCCTAGAAGTTTGACAATGGCGTTTGGAATGTCAGTGGAATCATGCTCGACATACCAAATGCCATTGTCAAACTTCTAGGCAAACAGGAAGGCGGCGCTGAACGTCCGACGTACAGTACACATTTTCGCGATGAAAACGTCGGCCGCAAGCTCTCTATTATCATAAATTTTGAATACTTTTTCATTAACAGTAAAGTAAAAAATAGTTTAGTATTAATATAATAATAATGATAATTTATAGTATTATTTGTTTATTGTAATAATTCTTAATCTACAAAAAAGGGGCCCCATTGAACTTCAATAAGCTCTAGGCTTCGAAAAACCTAGATTAGTCTTAATTGTTCCTATAGTGAAATCGAGAAAAGTGCTGAAACGAACGATTTAATTTCTTTTTTAATCAAAAAATCCGTCAACAAGTTGCGTAACTTTCCCAGCTGTTGTGAGATTTTATTTATAAAATAGCTTTTATGTTTTTAATTACAATATAATAAATAGAATTATGTGTGGCACCATCTGTTAAGTTATTTTGTTATAAGAACTTTCTATGACTTTAATTTATTATAGAATGGCNGTCTAATTCGTTAAATTTCTAAACACTCTCCCCGTAAATATTCTATAGTTTAACAAGAATTTTAACCCATCCGATAATATGTATAAATTATATAAAATAGACTCGAAATGCATTTCGGTCTTTAAAATAGTCCCTTTTCAGTCGGTGTTTCAATTAAAACATATAAGATAAAACACATAAAAGTTATATTAAAAAGCCGAAAAAAGAATGAAGAAACTGGCGTTATCTCACAGGTCCCTTACAATAACTTCTATCATTTCCATGTTTTCCATAACCAAGCTAGCCGTAGAGAGTTAATTGATGTCTCTGAAGGATTAATTGAAACACGTTTTATGTTTCAGTCAATTGATCAAACGGCCTAGGCGTGCATAGCGAGCAAACAAACATCCTCGTTTATATTTGCGGATATGCGGGAAGTAAGTTTGGAAAAGAGTAGCTTCTCCAAATAAATAAACAGGTGTAATGGAGTGAGGGAGAAAAATAGGAGTAAGAAGTTTGGTGTCAATGATGTAACCATAGTCGTATACGTTGGAACCGTTCTGTAAAAACAGAATTGAGTGTTTATCATCCGTTATCATTTTAAAGCCATCGAGGAAGAAATATTTCTTAATCTCTGGATTTTAATCGAATAATTTGACACTTTCGGTCAGGATCGAACTCTCTTCGAAAGTCCTGTTTAATTAATGTACTGTAGGATAATCACTCGCGAATAATTCGAATATTTAATAATTAGGCTAAAGTTTATAATTGATATTTTCTTTTCAAATTTTTATTTGTGTAAATTACAATCACTCGTCAAAGAATGAAGTATTTTAGATAATAATACAAATAAAACTAGAAACAATAGCAATAATATACAACAATAAAGAATCTCGATAATATTCACGTCAGAATAAACAATGTAAATAATGTGTACGATATCGGATTGATCCTGTTCTGCGATGAAATTATAAAATATGAGATTATTTCCTCTGCGTTTCACCCTTCTCCGAATGTTGGCGAGAGAAAGGAAGGGCGAAAATGAAAATAGAACCGGCATTAAAAATGCATGCGATATGCTAGTTTCGCTACGCATAGGTTCCGATTCTTTTTATATAGAAGAGTTCGAAACTCTATTTTTAGAACAGACAAATGAATATTATACAAAAGAAAGTTATCGTTCCTTATCCGAGAAGGATGCCGTGTCTTACGTGAGAAAACCTAAAGCACGAATGGAGCCACCAGAAGCCAAATTCTGTTTTGGAGAAACGACGGAAAAAAAGTAATGGAAATTTTAGAGGAACAACTGCTCAGAAAGCATGTCAAAATTATTATGGAAATGGAAAATCCTGGAATATTTCATATGCTAAAAAAATGAAAAAATGGAAGAATTAGCTTCTATGTACCAACTCTTTTCTAGAACAGAAGATTGCTTACACATAATGGCTGAATACGTAAGCAAATATCTTAGCAAACTTGGGAAAAAATATGATAGAAAAAGGAAAAAGGATTATACACATCTCAGAATTTATACATAGCTGGATAGATTTAAAAGAAAAATTCAATGTCTTTTTGTGTAAATCTTTCAAATACATTCAGAAAATGATAGTTAAACTTCGAACATCTCTTAAATTTAGATCTGAAATACTCAGAATATCTCTCTCTATTTATAAATGATAAATTTAAAAAGAAGTCCAGAGACTTTATTGGAGAGATTGAAGAAGGTATTATTGATAAAAGTTTCATTCTGATTCGTTATCTTCGGGATAAAGATCTGTTTTTAAATTAAGACACGAATAGAAAGTTTGATCGAAAGACAATATTTAACTGGAAAAGTTGACGACAAAGAAATATATCTTTATATTCAACAATGATTTCACTACTGATTTTAATAAATATAAATTAGTTTGATAAGCTCAACATTATTCTGTATCTCGTAATTGTTGATATGGTGATAAATCATTATATTAACACATTAATATAATAATTAAAAGAATATTTTATAAGTCAACATGCACAGTTATAAATACGGTACATAACAATACTGCGAGATAAAGCTAATTTAAATGTAATTTTTTAAAATTGTCTTTAACAAAAGATTTTCATTCAATTTTTTTTTAAATAAATTGATAAATGACGTCAGCTTTTTAAAAGTTCTTTTCGTTCTGTGGGCACTAAGACGGCCTGTTTATGGGTTGGCAGAATCCACAACGAGACAACCCGATGGTTAGGAACAGGGTCTGGATTCGATTCCAGCTACTGCAGAGCGGTAGAATGCCACCTTAGCCGCTCGGTCATCCGGCCTTCGTAATACTTTTTATTATAGAGCAGATTGATTTGCAATGTTTTTATCTCTTTCTTTTGTACTCTTTCCACCCTGTGGGCACTAAAAGGACCTCTTATAGCAGGCCCATCATGGGTTCGGCCAGGCCCACAATGGGCGACCGGATGGTGAGGGACTGGGCCCGACATATCCGAACGGTCCACTCCCCGAAAAATTCCTGGGTATTCCTTGACTCGTCCGGATTCGGTCCCGGGTGCCCCAGAGCGGTAGGCTGCCACCTTGACCGCTCGGCCATCCGGCCGTCATGCTATTATCTTTCGGACAAGACAATACAATCTCTTTAAACACTGCCCGTCATTCAGAAAGTAACAATGGCCAATAAACTTAAATGTAAATTAGTGGCTTTCGGAGAGATGCACCTTCTCAGGTGAGGATCTTAATTCTGAAAATAGAAAAAAATGTAGGAAAAAATATATAAAAAAATTATCATTTCGGTAAAAAAATTTTTTTACTTTGAGATTTAATATTAAAATAAAGTCTATAAATATATTCGGAGTACCTGCCTGTCTCCTTCGTGGCTGCCTACAGAGAAGTGTAAGAAGGATACGTGCCGAAAACAGCGCGATCTTGGATATCCTTTGATGGTGATCCATAACGGAGGAGCATTTGTTGAGATAAAAATTTGTGAGTCAATTACTTTCAAGCCTCGGCCGCACAGACTGTTACGATTATGATGCTACACTCAGTAACGATGAAACGCATGCTGCAGGGGTGGATCTAGATAGGGATAGGGACTAATAGGGCTTACGTCTCCAAGTGTAGACAGCCGGATGGCCGAGTGGTCAAGGTGGCAGCCCTGGGGGACCCGGGATCGAATCCAGACGGGTCGAGGAATCCCCAGGAACCCCTCGGGGTGGCCCGTTCGGATATCTCGGGCCCCGCCCCTCACCACTTGGCCGCTCCATTGTGGGCCCGGCCGAACCCATAATGGGCCTGCTATAAGAGGCCATCTTAGTGCCCACAGGGCGGAAAGAGTATAAAAATAAAAAAAAAAGTCTCCAAGTGTCAAGGTCCCACAAAATTGATATATCATCATAAATTTTTAATACTTTTTCATTAACAATGAGCACTTATCGTATAGTAAAAAATAGTTAATATTAATGGAATTTCTATATATATATATATTCAAGAGCTTATGTGGGATCTTGGGTATAGCGGCGGCTCTAAAACAATCTTTAGCGTCTTAGCGGGCATTTTTGCGTTTTTTTAATGAAGAAATGAAATACGTACAATGTTTTTTTTATTAATGAATGAAAGGCAATCTTAAACAATTTTATTTTTGTTACTAAAAGTAACATTAATTTATAGGGGTAGGAATTACTACGGACCTTTAAATTTTCTCCTTGCCCGGGAAAAATTCCCAGTTCTTCCCTCTAGATCAGTGGTTCCCAACGTCTTTTTAATCATGCCCCATCTAAGCATCTCTGAAATCCTGATGCCCCCTGTGACAAGATTCTTCAATAATAATAATAACTGTGTGCGCACACTAAATAGTATACTTTTTTACTTTATTCTTATCGATTTACAATTGAGTCTCAAGTCATTTAACATGCTCCAAGTAACAATGGAGAGGCTCGAAAAAGTTAAAATGTCAGTCTACTGCTCTGTGAGATCTTGGATCAATTTCGGATGACAAATCTCAAGAATTTTTCATGAGCGGCCCGTCTCGGATATGCCCTTATCTACTCCAATTGTGGATCTGGCCACCGGATCCACAATCCACCAGGTGCATAAAAAAAAAGGCCATCGGTGCTCACAGAAAGAAGTATTGTAATAAAAATATTGTATATAGTTTAAGTGAATTAGCTCATTTATGGCCGAATTCACACTCAAGAATCAAGAATTAGAAGTTCACCATCGCTTAGTAGTGAGCTCTTATTATTTAACTTCTAATTCTAACTCTTGATCTTTGGTTATTATGGTTGTGAATACGAGAATCAAAGATTGTATATATTATATATAAGCGTTTACATATGTGTTTAAAATGAAATAAGACAAAATATTAAATATTTTTATTGACTTTTGTGTATCGATAGTAATATAGAAATTTTTTGATTTGTCTGTAAAAGTTAATTATAATGTTACCTTGCTTTATATATTCCATACCAAATTTGGCGATGTTTGGGCTAATTCTAATCAAACGACAAAACTCAGCTGGTGCTTTTTTTTTATTTGTAAATAAGATGGGAAAATGTCACGTGTTTGGAGATTGTTTCAGATAATGTTAGAAGCATCTATTTTGTGATAAGATTAAGTTCATTTTAGCAACAGTCTAAGGAAACTTTCAATCAAGATGCAGAATTTAGCAAAAAATGTATTTAAATTTACAAGATTTAGGTGCTGTGTAAGTAGTTATTGCATGTCGACAGCTCCTTCCAGTGATGAGTTTATATTTGAAAAGTTGACTGGAGATCGAGATGGAATCGCCATAATTGGATTCAATAGACCTAAAGCGAGGAATGCTTTTAGTAAGAACCTAGTCGGTGCTATTGCTGGTACCATTGACTTGTTGAAATTTGAGAAAAATATTCGTTGCCTCATAATAAGAAGCTACGTGCCTGGTATATTCTGTGCGGGAGCTGATTTAAAAGAACGTGCAGTAATGCCGCAAGAAGAAGTGGGTCCTTTTGTTGCTAAATTGAGAAAAATGGTGGTCGAAATACAAGATTTACCAATGCCGACAATTGCCGTTTTAGATGGAGCGGCTTTAGGAGGTGGTTTAGAATTGGCTTTGGCTTGTGATTTAAGAGTTGCTGCTTCGTCCGCAAAAATGGGTTTAGTAGAAACTAAACTTGGCATTATACCTGGAGGAGGTGGAACACAAAGGCTCGCCCGTCTGATTGGTCCTGGTTTGGCTAAAGAGTTGATATTCACCGGCCGAGTAATAGATGGTACAGAAGCACACAGATTTGGTATAGTGAATCAAGTTACCGAACAAAATAAGGAAGGCGATGCTGCTTTTCACAAAGCCATGAAATTGGCCGAAGAAATCCGAACGCAGGGCCCGGTCGCGTTAAGAATGGCAAAATTAGCAATTAATAACGGTCTGGAAGTTGATATAACGAGCGGTTTAGCTTATGAACAAGCTTATTATGCCCAAGTAATTCCAACTAAAGATAGATTAGAGGGAATACAAGCTTTTATTGAAAAAAGACCTCCAAAATTTATTGGAGAATAAATTGAAAAATAAATAATATTTGAGTAATTTTTGGATAACTTTAATGCAGTTTTTAACACTAAAATGAGGAAATTTTGTATTTTTATTTTAATTAGCAGTTATATGTAATAATAAAAGAAAATTATGTGATTTGATGAGCAAATGCATAGTGATTCTCAACATTCATTAAGTGTGGTAAGTGAGAATATTTTTATTTACATGTCAAACTGTGCATTTGATTTGTTTTATATTAATACTTTGCTTGATTCTGGAATATATTTTTCAAATGATGTTTTACACATTTTTCAGAACTGAACATTTTTGAAATATGGACTCAAACATAAAATTACTGTACTACTGATCAATTAAAAACTCATTAAAAACATGTAATTATTGATTAGCAATGTGTCATATACAGTATAATAAAGAGATCTGTTTGTAATATTTACTACAAATTTACTATTAAGTAATAAATTAATTTAAACTTTAGAATTTTTCAGACTCACATAATATATTTTGTAAATATTGCTGACATTTTTAATATTATAAATTTGGTGAAAGTAAAATATTTTGCTATTAGATTCTTATATAATTTCAAAACTTGATGTTATATTGAATCTTGTAACAAAATTCATATTTTAAAAGTTTTAAGATAAATGCACAATCTTTATTCTGATTTTTCAGGTGCACATAATATATTAAAAATTGAAATTAATTCAATCTATGACAAACTTTTCTTTTTTGAAATGTTTTAGCCAAGCAAGAAGTTTAATATATATCAGAATCAACAAGTATTTTTATTCTAGAATTTATTTATAGTGATTTTAGTGAGAGAAGTAAATTCATCATATCCAAAGACATTACAATTTATCTATAATATATACAAATAAATTTTAATAAACTAGCAATATATGATAATTTTCACACATTTAAATTGATAATATTTTTATTTATTCCTGTGTACCTTACTTATTACTTCATATAGAAATAATTTGGAGTCAACATTGAGATTGTGAATATTATGAGTGTATCAAAAACAAGTTCATGTTTTCATCTTCATTGTAGTAACAGTAATCATGAAAAAGTTGTGCTCATATATAAATTTATAAATAATTAATTGTTTTAATATGCCTACAAGTGTATTAAAATAAAAAGTTTATTATTGAGTAACTTAAACTTATGCCCAGTCAACAAATATAAAAGTATTAGAATGTGAACAAATATAAAGAATAACTTTCTGCCAAAAAGTTTTTTAAATGAAGATTTTTGATATTGATATGAAAGCATATAGTACACACTACATATATATAATCAATTTTCTATATATATCAAAACCTATATCAATTTTCTATGGATCTATATAGATCCATTAAAAATTGATATAGGTTTTATATTATTTAAAAGTAAATCCAAATTTCTTACTAGAGATTAAGAATAATACTATATTAAAACTTTCAAACAGTTTTAGCTAATACACAAAAAGTAATGTATTATACTACCACTCAAAACTGGATATACTTGAATTAAAAATTCTAAAAACCTATAATCCAGCAATTTTTTAATACATGTTTTGTGGCTGATGATATCTATTTGACACAGGCAAAATGTTTGCATGTATTAAAAAAATTGCTGGATTATAGGTTTTTAGATGATAAAATTAACTTTTTATTCATATATAAGTTATACAAAAATATAATTTATATTTTAAGATCCATAAAAGAAGTCTACATTAACTTATTGTTTTTCATGTCATTTTGAAAATACAGTAGAATCTCATTTTAATGGATTGCAGAACAACAGATTTCTTGGGATAACAGATTTTTTTCCAAGGTCCCATTAAATGTAATTTTGCTTCCTTTTAGCAGATCCATAACTTGAATAATGGATTTTTTCTAGTCCTATCTATTGTAAACTTTGTGTTTTTTTTAAGATTTAGTTAATATTGGGTGTTTCTGGGAATTTTTAGAATTCAATGATGCACTTGTTACATCTGGGATATGTACAGTACAATTGAAGAATTGTACAAAGAAAGTCAACAGGTTGATATGATTGAGGAGGAGCCACCTAGTGAACATTCTGACTCTAGTCCAAGCATAGTGCCGAAATTTAGTGAGGCCATAGATTCTTTGCAAGTCATGAAGACCTTCCTGATGAGTATCAGAATAAACAAACAAGCTGTACATGACATTGCTAATATCAAGCAGTTATTGTATTTAATAGGCAGAAGAGCAGCATCAAAACAAACCAAGTTGGACGAGTTTTTTAACATATGAAGTTGAGTGAAATGCTAACGAGCATGTGTAATATGCCACTTACAGTATATAGTTTCTGTCGGCTTTGTCATACACATGTAGGGAATAATATATGATATTACAACATACATATTTCTATAGAATAAAGAACAAAGATCTCAAGAGACTGAATAATTTCAAGTACTGGGATTTCTTATTTGTAGGGGATTAAAACATGAAAATTTTTTCAAATAACTATATTTTCCTGGGTGTGCAGGAAGTCTGTTGTTTGCAATATAATGGATTCTTCAAACAGTGGATAAATTTTGGCAGCCCAAGGGATTCATTAAAATGAGATTCTACCATATCCTGTTTTTTGTAAAAGTTTTAGCAAATATTTATTAACGTAATCCAAATAAATAGAATCTGAAGTTAAAGATGGATGAAATTTCATTGTTTAAGAAAGAAATAATTAGTAATTTTATGGATTATAGTTGGTCTTGTCTACAGTATATTAATATTCAGCATATGAACAATTACAAATCTAAACGGTAATCAATGTAAATCTGAATAAGATAATTTAATGATCTTGCTTTATACTTAAATTGCAATTTTAAAAATTTTATACTGTATTTATAATAAACTAATGATAAGAATATAAAGTCTATGTATTTACAGACACTTGAAATTGCTTATGTTTATTATATATGAAGAAATTGTATAAATGAGAAAAATGAAGCCATTAAAGGAATTTTTATTATGAAGAAACAATTTAAAGAAGTTATTAGAACATATTTATTATGATTGGAAAAATCATGTAAATAATTTTTTGAAAATATTTGTTATTTCATTAAATGCTATATTAAAAAAAAAGCATTGATAAAGTTTTACTTTATAAATGCTTTTTAATACAGCATTGATAAAGTACTCTTTAACAAATTGATATTTAGATATCATGATAAAATCTATCAGTGAACAATTGAAAGTTCAATTATACAAAAACACCAAAAAAATGTTGTCTTGTTGAATTTGTAAATAGAAATAAATAAAAGATAGTTCCTCAGAAAATAAAATATAAAATTTTTGTCAGATTGATTGTTGAAGATATGTTGTGATTTGTTCATCAATGCTATCTGTTATTCTAATACTTGCTCTATAGGAAATATGCATGTTTGGTAACTTTAATACATATTTCAATTATCCTGCATTATGTGGTTGATGTATTATAGTTTTTTGCCAGTTTATTTATAAATTACTGATGGTTCTTATTGGTTTTATAACTTCAAATCAACATGTGGTTTATTTTCATCACTTTGGTTCTCTTAATGATATGCAGTTGAAAAACTGAACAGTCAGGCTGCAGCATCAAACTTCATTATAAAATAAAACTAACTGGAAGTTTTGTTCTTATTTATTTTTTCACATGTTTCCCTGAAGATTGATCTGTGGATTCAAAAATATTTTAAGATTATAATTTTGTAAACCATGTTCCAGTAAAACAATTAAAAATAAAATATGCATTCATGAATTTTAATATGATGAAAATTTTAACAACTTTCTATATATAGGCAAATATTAAAATTCTGTCTTCCAAATTAAAATCGTTTATTGATTTTCAATAGTTAAAACAATTCTACTGAAGTAAAATTTAACTTCTAGATGTATCTCTGATGATACTAGGTATCAAAATAATCAGTTGCTAATATTGATGAAACTATTTCTCATAAAAAAAAAGTAGAATTAATATTTTATCTTAAAAAATTTGATAAATATTTTTAATACAATTCATAGGAAACTTTTTGAAAATAATACTATATATTATCATCGTACATTGTGATAAATCATAATTTTATTTTATAAATAATATTAGCAACACTCCAATATTATTTCCATCAAGAAACCTTTTGTTAAGCCTTTTGCCAATAAAGCATACAAACAAAATGCTTTATTGGAATTGGAAAATGTTTCTTTTGATAACAGCAGCAACCATCTATGTATACAGGGTGTTTATAAATGAATGGTGCGGTTTTAAAAATTAATAATAAATCTATTTATTACCATANAGATATGTTGTGATTTGTTCATCAATGCTATCTGTTCTAATACTTGCTCTACAGGAAATATGCATGTTTGGTAACTTTAATACATATTTCAATTATCCTGCATTATGTGGTTGATGTATTATAGTTTTTTGCCAGTTTATTTATAAATTACTGACTGTTCTTGTTAGTTTTATAACTTCAAATCAGCATGTGGTTTATTTTCATCACTTTGGTTCTCTTAATGATATGCAGTTGAAAAACTGAACAGTCAGGCTGCAGCATCAAACTTCATTATAAAATAAAACTAACTGGAAGTTTTGTTCTTATTTATTTTTTCACATGTTCCCCTGAAGATTGATCTGTGGATTCAAAAATATTTTAAGATTATAATTTTGTAAACTATGTTCCAGTAAAACAATTAAAAATAAAATATGCATTCATGAATTTTAATATGATGAAAATTTTAACAACTTTCTATATATAGGCAAATATTAAAATTCTGTCTTCCAAATTAAAATCGTTTATTGATTTTCAATAGTTAAAACAATTCTACTGAAGTAAAATTTAACTTCTAGATGTATCTCTGATGATACTAGGTATCAAAATAATCAGTTGCTAATATTGATGAAACTATTTCTCATAAAAAAAAAGTAGAATTAATATTTTATCTTAAAAAATTTGATAAATATTTTTAATACAATTCATAGGAAACTTTTTGAAAATAATACTATATATTATCATCGTACATTGTGAAAAATAATAATTTTATTTTATAAATAATATTAGCAACACTCCAATATTATTTCCATCAAGAAACCTTTTGTTAAGCCTTTTGCCAATAAAGCATACAAACAAAATGCTTTATTGGAATTGGAAAATGTTTCTTTTGATAACAGCAGCAACCATCTATGTTTACAGGGCGTTTATAAATGAATGGTGCGGTTTTAAAAATTAATAATAAATCTGTTTATTACCTTAATCTTGGGCATTGACTGAGTTTATGTACCGTCAATGCCCGTGTCCCTTGAGGAACTGTGTGATCAGATAA